TTTTTTTTTTTTTTTTGAGACAGGGTCTCACTATGCAGTTGAGACTGAGCTGGAACTCACTAGGTAGCCCAGACTGGGCTCAAACTCACAGCGATCCTCCTACCTCAGCCTCCCAAGTGCTGGGATTACAGGCATGCGCCACCACGCCTGGCTAGAACAGATCTTAATTCTAATGATGTTCAAATTCTTGGTGGCTGGGCCCTTCATATGCTGATTGAGGAGTTTTTGTGCTCCTGAAATCCTCTGTACTTTCTTCTAGAAGCTTGTTTGTTTCCCATTTCCCACTCAGGTTTGTGATCCACCTCAGATGTATGCACTTTTCTTTAATCCAGGTCACAATCCAGTTCTTCAGAGACCCAGAGACTTAAATGTGCCATTCACTCACACTTTTAATCACCCAATCATTTAACAAAAAATGTAAGCACCTCCCACATGCCCTGCCCTCAGCATTGGACTGAAGTGGGGATACCTAGAGAGTGGTCCTCCAGTTGGAAGAGCTAATGCGGCCAGCTGGCTCGCATGTGCTGTCCAGAGCCTCACTCTGAACACAGCCAGGTGTACTAGGTTTCCTGCATATCAGCCATCCTGTCTCACATCTGCCCTTGCTCCCATTCCCTCCAGGGGAAAATCCACATCCCTACGCCTGACTTCAAGGCATCCCACTGCCCGATCCCCTGTCTTCTAGACCTCTCCGTCTTGCCGTCAAACCCTGCATCCACGAGCTTCCCCACCCTGCCCTCACAAAGGGTTTGCTTTGCCTCTCTCCTGGGCTCCTCCCATGGCTTTGCTGCCTGAAAATCTGTTCCCCTGTCCAGCGTCACCCCGAAAAGCCCCTCCCACACAGCCCCTGTGTACCTGTGCCTCAAGACCTGCCTGGAGTGCGGATGCCAGGTTCGAAGCCTGCTTCTGCCACTTTCCAGCTCTCTGACCTGGGCATATTACGTATGCCGCCCTGCCTCGGGCTCCTCACTGGGAATAACTGGTCCCTGCCGTGTACAGGTTTGTGCAGGATAAATGGGATTATCCAGGCACTATTGCTTAGCACAGTGTCAAGCAAATGGCAAGCGTCAGGTAAATGTTAGCACCACACCCATCCTACTGAGGCCATCTGTCTGTTAACACTGGGTCGCAGGTAATTTCCTTAGCTTTCCTACTGTTTTTCTATTACTGCATCAAGCCCTTCCAGCTGTGAACAGGACAAACATTAGATTCTCCATCTTCCAGTCCAAACGGCTCAGGCTCTGAGGGAGCCAATATCGTCAGCTAATGACTGGAGCAGCGAGGTCCTGGCTCCTTCGCAGAGTTCCAAGCCATTATGTGTCGGCGCCTCTCTGTACATCCCCAGCGCTTCCTCTGGGAGCTTGGTAAATATTTGATGAGTGGAATTGAATCTAAGAGAGCCAGAAGTATGTCCCAAAGGAGCATGGGTCTGTCTGGGCAGCCAAAGTCCCAAATGTAACCCTTGAAGTCCACAATCAACCAGAGGTGGAGGCCTGCGTGGCAGATAGCATCTGGGCAGGAGATTGTTTTTAACTTTTCCCTCTTGGGAAACAGCAGTTTCAACATCAATAATTTGCACTTGTCCATTCCAAGGCATGAGCCGTAACTGACACAATGCTGCCACTCCAGAGGAACGGGTTGTCACTTTTTGCAAAATTTGCCCTATTTACTGAAGCTTTTTGTTGGGTTCTGATGACCTGCACTGCTTCTAGTGCTTGATCCCAGTCCTGACCCTGACAGTGGTATACCAGAAGTCTCGGGACTCCTCTCCGGGCACACTGGGAGCTTGGCCCTTCAGTGCCACGGCTAAGTGTCTGGGGAGCTGCGGCCACAGGTCGTCATCTGACTCTCCTTTGGCACATGACGTGGGTAGGCAGAAATTCTACAAATCAATGTCAAGTTCTTTATCTGTGTATTTGTTTCATGCTGGGCACTGGGCTAGGCTTTGGGAGGGAGGGAGGGAGAAGGAAGCAGATTCCAATCTTGCCTTCAGAAGCATCTATGCCTACCCAGGAGACAAGATGCAAACATAAACAACAGACAACTGATTTGGATAAATGTGGTGTGGGACAGGGAGTGTGGCAGAAAGCTATAATGGGTCCACCCCCCTTTCAAAGTATCACCGGTACTTAAAGACTGGTGGGGAATTCTTTGGTATTAAAACAAGCATAGCGTGAGATGGAAGGCACTCGAACAAGTGGTTGCATTCCACAGATTTTCCTCTCACCTGTCTCCCAGCAGCTCCCCTCTCTCTGCCAGTACCAGGGATCAAACTGAGGACCTTACACTTAGGAGGCAGGTGGCAGAACCACTGAGCTGCATCCCTCACTGCCGTTAGAGTGTTTTGGTGGATAATACTGGCAAGCATTGCTATTGGCATGAGACAGAATAGGATTTTCAACTCCAGCTGTCTCCACCACTTGCTACCTCCGTGACTTTGATCAAGTGGCCTGAGGTCTCTGGACCCGTTTTCCACCATTTTTGAAGGGTTAATGCTTTATAAAGTATTCTGTCATATGCATGGTAGTAGTGCTTATACTTACTATGAGGAAATGAAGGTTAATAAGCTGTGGATGAATGGGTGGATGGATGGAGTAGAGAAAAGAACACTGCCACTACAGAGTAAAAGGGATATGTTCCCTTCGTCATTAATACTTTGCAACTCTATATCATTTTGCACCCTCAAAACACTTTCATATACAAAACGTAAAGAAACCACAGCTACCCCTATTTCGCTGAGGAGGAGCGAAGTCCTAAGCCATGTAAAGGATCTGGCAAAAGTCGACATTGGTCAGCCTGCGATTTGAACCCGTGGCCGGCTCAGCTCCGGATGTGGACAGGGAGAAGGGTACACCTCTGAAGGCCCTGCTCATTAACTGCAGCCATCGCTCAGCAGTCACAGAAGCACACAGTCCTCAGTGCTGGGCTGGCCCGTGCGGGAGCACCTCGTGTTCCCTGTTGGGATCCTGATGTTATGGGAGCTGCGGATCCTGCTCTCCCAGAGAACACGCATATGCGTGTGGAAATTCACATGTGATTTCAAGACGTCTGTAGGAATTCTGCAGCCTTTCCACCAGGCCCCCTCAGGTGCCCAAGCCCCTCTAGAGTGGACATCCCGAGTGAAACCAACTGCAGAGGCCACACACTCACAACCCGCAGGCACACTGGTGGGGACACAGTAGCCCAATATAAGCCCAGCAACTTCAGCCGGGATGCCCTACACCTTCACTCTGCAATCATTTTAATTCTAAGGATTTAGCTTTCAATAAGTATTCAGAGCCAGACCATCTCTTTCCCTCGGAGACCTTTGCGAGTCTCAGCAGAAATAAGAATTGAGGTTACCTGTGTGGTAGAGACCAGGGTTGCCAGTGTGTTACCAGCGGGCCGGACGGTCCATGTTTTCCTAGCATTGATTGGCTACACAGCAGGCAGAGCCTCCACTGCCAGGGAAGCCAAGGTTGGCCATGGCAGAGCGGGGGCCTTGCTCAGTGGGAGGGTGCATGCATGAGGCCCTGGGTTTAAGCTACAGCACAGACAGAAAGAAAAAGAAGCAAGAAAGAAAAGAAGAAAGGAAAAGGGTGGCCATGGATGGCAGAGAAAGAGGCTCAAAGCTGAGACCCCTGATGAAGCCATTCAGTTCACATTCATTCAACACACATGTATTAAGCACCTACTGTGTGCCAGGCACTGGTCTACACTCCTGTGGGGTATCGGAGACCAAAACACAGAAAAATCCTTGCCCCGTAGAACTTACATCCTAGTGAATAAAAATAGAAATAAATGTGATCAATGCTATGGTATATTAGAAAACAAAGAGCTATAGAGGGAAAAAGAAAAGTAGGACAGAATCGGGACTGCGCAAGAGGGAGGGCCAAGTGGTAGTGCTAAGGGAG